ATAGTAACTTGTTTACGATAAAAACATCAACGACCCACCTCTACTCGTTACTTCTTTCCACGAGAGACGAGACGTTGCCAAATAATTTTGTATGAAACTTTTTTATTGTGGCATCATATGCAGTTTATTATTTTTATTGGAAATAAGGCACAATGTGACTTAAAAATAAGCTTATTTTGATGTTAAAATATTTAATTTGGAAATCGTACTTAAAATACAAAACATTAATAAATTTTATTAATATAAAATTGATTTACGAAGTAGAAATGAAAATGTTATATTACACTTAATGTAAAGTAAAATTGTGGCATATTCTTAATAAAAAAAATTCATTTCGCCAAAATTTAATTATCTTAGAACATTATTCAAATGCTAATAAGACGACAGGTCAAATAAAACCAATAAGTTTGGCAACGTTGAATTTCCTCTTTTTTATTATTTAAACTCATTCATTTTCGGCAATATAAAGGACGTACCTAATATATTTCTCTCTTTTTAACCAGGTATTTCTCACTCCATCGCACGTAAGGTCCATACCGACCATAAACTTTTACCTATATAACAACTTATTTACTTAATTTTATTTATTAGACCTACACGATTTTAAGGCTTTAGTTATAGTCTCAACCAGACACTAACAAAACTTAGCTTAATGACAACAGCTTAACCAACATTTCATTTTGTCAAAATGTATAATCAATTTTGAGTTTTAATGACCTTGAGTTTGTCATGACCTATATTGTAACTTATTCCTGCTTCATTCCACTGTATCATTAAATCAATCCATTTATTATTTAAAATCTAATAATCAATAATTTCTGAATGCTTTAATTTAGCTGCAATGAAACTACAAATTACCAATTACTATAATTTCAAAGTATGACGTCAAAGTGATGCAAGGTTACCTATATTTCTACAAAGATACAAAGCAAGTTCATAGGGAATACTTAAGTATTAAACTGTATCGACTTTTAAGTATATAATTCAGTAATGCAGTAATCGAAATCGAACAATCTATCTGATGGGAAGATACCATCTGAATTTTTTCTAAGACTAACAATTAGATCTGACGGTATGCATTAATTCGTCGTGTACAGCAATCATCTAATACGTTATTTATGAGATAATGAGTTAACATGCAGGACTAACTGGGACAATACTTTAACAAGATCTAGATTTTTATTAAAGAAAATTGTAACGTTATAAACGTGACATGTTTGTTAATTTTTTTTTCAAATAATTCTTTAATTCCAATTTCTGTGGATTGTATTCATTTGTTAACTTTCTGTTTTGTTCTAATATTTTAATTCTAAAAATAGTTGGCCCAACCTTTATTTACTAAATATTCGTCTAAATTCCAATTTTCATTTGCACTAGTTTTTATTCTATTCTATTCCATCGACATGTATAAAAGTCTATGATCTGCAAGTGAAAAAAGATATCTGTACCCCGGAGGTAAAGGACGCTATGTCCATTTTTATCTAAATTGGGATTATTGCACTTTTAAATATAACTTTTCTGCCTCTACACAAAGATAAACCATACTATGGCCAGAGAAAATTTTACGGCAAGTTACCGACGTTTTAATAAAGACCAAGTCCACTTCACTTGGATCTAGGGATCCCACCTTAAATTTTTACCTTTACCATGTGAGCTGAGCGATGCTAAATTACTCATATTATAATTTTAAAACCCTTCTTGTCTATCAAACTCTATCAAACGAATATATTAAAATTATTAAATTAAATGGATAATTGTTTGGTGACTTCAAGAAATAATAAATTGAAAATTTATTTGACAACTACTAGATTTAAGCTAGATATTTAATTAACCAATTATAATCTTTCATTTATGTAGTCTTATCGAAATTATGATTAAAATGGTAACTAGCAAATCTCATAAATAAAAAACTTATTTAAATACTTATTAAACAACTAATTCTTAATTTAAAAGAAAATTTTATCCTCATATCATTCATAATATATTATCTTAATTTCCAAATTTTTTTCTTTCCTCTTCCAAAAAGTCTATTTCTTGTTTTCTTTGACAAACATTCAGTACTTCTACTGGTTTTTTTGTGTGTTTCTTTAAATTTTATTTCCACTACTAAATAGCAAAATCTTTTACAATGAAACTGTATTAAACTTCTTTTTTATGAGCGTAGGCGCAAAATTTCGCTCCAATGCTTTTTAAATGCATTCATTTTTTTCGAATCCTGAAAAAACTAATAACTATTTTTGAAAAATTTAAACGCAGAATAAAAGATTACATCATTATTCAGGGTTGAAAGTCCCTGAAAACTTTTTTAATGTTTATTTTAGTAAGTTACAGGGGTGAAAAATAAGAGAAAATTAAGTGTGATTTTTAATTTCAGATAACTCATTCAAAATAAACTTTTTATTTATCTAAGGGATTTTCGGCCCTCAGTAATAATGCTTTCCTTTCGTTCTACCCAAATAATGCCCCTTTTATTCTGCTTATAAATTTTTCAAAAATATTTATTAGTTCTCTCAGGATTCCAAAAAAATTAATGCATTTAAAAAGCATTGGCCCGAAATTTTGCGCCTACGCTCTTAATTTAAATATTATGTTTATATGGGATTAAGCCACAACTTATTGGTTGTAATGAAAATCACATTTTAACCAAAGTTTTTCGTTTTGAAATCGTCCTCAAAATATTGATAGAAATTTTGAACAAAAAAAAAACCGAACGAGGATGGACCAAGGTTATTTTTATTGGTTATAATATGATGAGCATTGATCTTCTTTTTTAATCGGTAAAAGATACAGGTTAGGTTAGGAGAAACAAAAATGTCAAAATCTTAAAATCATCTGCGTAATGGTGCATAGCGCATCTCGCATGGTAAAGGTAAAAATTTACGGTGGGATCCCTAGATCCTTGTGTCCACTTCCAGTCAGAGGTAAACAACACCATGTGGACTTGGTGTTGTTTACCTTTACTAAATGTGTGCACTGTTCTTGACTATCCGGACATAGTGTTATGTATCCTGGTACCTGGTGGAATTGTCATGAACTTAAATAATTGTAACCATTTTATTTAGGTCGCAATATATTCGCAATAATTAAGAAACAATTTATCTTCTTATGTGTCGACATCCAACCTACTCTTCGTACAGTAATATTTTACAGTGAACAATCAGTGATCGAAGATGTGCAAGGTTATGTTTTTAAACACACTTTGTATATCTAATTTAGTAATAGTGAATATGTTGAAAAAAAAAATAAGCCAGGTTTAATAAAAGTTGATCAAATAGGTAGATCAATAAAACTCATACCGAAACCATAAATCGTATACATCAACATATCAATTTCTTCCCAAAGTACGAGAGTAATGATTCCAGAGAAAGGAGCAAGATAAATTATCTGTGCATAGAACTTAGACAATAGAAAAGATGTATCAACTGTACAGCGATGAATGCAATGAAAGACATGTGAATCCAAAGATAAAAGGAAATAAAGTGGTTGTAGGCAGATATTTTTAATAAATACTTTAAGCTGTCGTTTAAACCACCCAAAATAGACATTTGCGATACATGCAGTACATTCACCGCTCAATTGAAAAATATTCTTAGTGCAAATGAAATAACCAGTGTACAGGCTGATCATGATGCTCATTTAATTGAATCTAAAACTCGGTATAACTTAAAACAATTGGACTTTATAAAGACTAAAGGGTCACCAAACTACAAAGCACTATCTGTTGATTTGCAAAAATGTTTACCTTCAGCACTAATAAACAATTGTATTAGTTTCTACAAAAAGAATCAATAGACATTAAATTTTACATTATATGATACCAGTGATTCTTCTGTACAATGTATAATGTGAGACGAATCTAAAAGGGTCCGTGGTAAAAATGAAATTGCCACGTCAATTTTGGAATTGGCTGACAATACAATTCCAGGTAGTCAAGTAGAGGATATCACCCTTTGGACCGATAACGGCTATGGACAAAATAAAAATATATGTATTATAATGTGCTATTTTTGGACACTGCATACGTACCCTCAAATAAAGACGATCACTCAAAAATTTTTACTGAAAGGGCACACACATATGGAATCAGACAGTGTTCATGCTTTGATCGAGAAAAATAAAAAAAACCCTTCAATTTGGCCATTTTAACACCATAGGACTGGCAACACTTAGTTAGGCAAACATCAGGTAAATACACAGTGCACAATATGGAACATGCAGATTTCAGAAACTTTAAAACGCTGTTCGATAAGAAACTGTCACATAATCCTCCTTTTGTAAGTAGAAAAAAGAATGTTAACATAGAGCCTGTTCTACTATCAACATGTGTTTTCGTACAAGTCCAATAAGAACATATTGGAAAGCTCTTTTATAAGACCAATTTCAATAATTAAAATATGTATCAGGTGGACTTCATAAGGTATCGAAGACACCAAGCAACTTTTCCAGCCCAATTAAATGAAGTCTCAGTAATCCCATTACCAATCACAAAACAAAAGTACAATGGCTTAATTGCACTATTTCCTTTTGTTTCGTCGGTTTTTCATGCGCTTTATCAAGATTTAACACGTAGCGATGTATCCACAAACGATTACTCCTAAGATAAGAACATGGACATAGTGTCGTTTACCTCCGGGGTACAGATATGTATTAATGGACAACTCCGTTCTGTCATATCAGTCTGTCAGTCTTTACTTCTAAATAATGGAGATACTAATGTTTTTTCTGAATTTTTATTTTCTAAAATGAAATTTTTGTTCATAAATTAATTTATATTCGTAAAATTTCCATTTATTAATCGTTTGTATATCCACGTAGGAACTTTATTTAATTTTAAAGGTCGGTTATTTTACAGGAGATTTCCCAAGCTTATTTGACTTCTGCCACTTTTTGATACCTGCAGTCATGTGAGTTGTGTCTATTTTATATCAATTACCTCCTTATATTGTGTTTTTATGAAAGTTTGTTTGTTTCCTACGTTTAATGTATATAAATCATATTCAATGACAAACTGTAGTAGTGACTCACCTGTTGCATTGGTGTTTGTAATGGATTCCAACAATCTAGGTGGTAGTAGTTCGAGGTAATTAGATAGAAGGTATTCTGATTTGAGAGTTCTTTCCTTCATACTCCATAGATCTGTGATCTTCATATTTTCGGTCGATAAAACTCTAAAATGCTCTTTAATATATTATTTATTACAAACTCGTAGAGTGTAGTCCTCAAAAATTTGATAGATGGGATATATCTATAAATTTTTTACGCACACCCAATAGATCTATGTTTTAATGCTTGTAAACATAGATCTTTTGTATTAAAACTACGTCGAACTTTCTTACAGCAAGAGTAAATTCTATCGAAATTACCTTACAGTGGTGGATGTTTGCTTGTGACCCATTAGTCGATGAGACTCATCTAGATCTCTAATCCTTTCGAAGGATACCTGTAATATGCCTTAAAATTAATAATTTTCTGTAGAAGTATCCACTCATCATTTTGCTTGTTCATCTTCCACGATTTTCCCACTTTTTAATAACCTATCTAAGTTCTATCGTAAGGCCTATATTTGGTTTTTGTAGATGGATCCTGGTTATCTTTATTCAAATTTTTATTTAGAAGTTCGAAAAATACTTGAAAACCTGAAGAATAGAAAAGCTACAGGTAAAGACGAAATACCAATCGAATTACTAAAATATTATGGAGCAGTATTAACAGAACAGCTAACAGCATAAGAACATCATTTAACAAAATTATAAAACAAAAAACTACCGGAAGAATGGAGAACTAAAAAACTAATTCTACTATTCAAAAAGGAGATAACCAACAGCCAGAAAACTGCAGAGGTTGTTAAAGGAAAACTTGTTAAATACTACCCTAAAAGTTACAACTAAAATTTTACAAGAACTAATAAATCAGAAAATAAATTTAGTAGATGAAAAACGGGGTTTTCTTACTGGAAACTCGTGTACAGATGCAATATTCGTTATAAAGCGAATTACTAAAAAACACACATTATATCCCAGCATTTCTGTATCTGACTTGAAGAAAGTATTTGACAGAATAAGACTCAAGAACGTAATCCATCTATGGAAAACAAAGAAGTATTTAAGTAAATAAATAAATAAGTAAATTACTCTGATTTTTAAATAAGTAAATTACTCTGATGTCGGTCAGATAGCTCAGCGGGCTGTGCGGCTGCCTCTCATTCGCTTCACTGTCGAATGGTTCAGTGGATGTGGGTTCGAGCCCCAGCTCGGTGTACTGAAAACAAAAAGTCTTACGCAGCAGTTTAAAATTCTAGATGAGTCTGCGGCTTAGACTAGGATATGCTGGAATCTGATCGGCCTATGGTGGAGCAGTACGGCAAGAGATAAGGGCTTGCGGCTTGGTGATACTCCTCCATAGATCCCTACCGGACGGGCGTAACGCCTAAAAAACCGGATATATATATATATATATATATATATATATATATATATATATATATATATATATAATATATATATATATATATATATATATATATATATATATATATATATATATATGTATCCGGTTTTTTAGGCGTTTATATATATATATATATATATATATATATATATAAATTATAATATTAGTAATAATAATAATAAAAATAAAAATAATAGTAATTTATATATATATATATATATATATATATATATATATATATATATATATATATAAATTACTCTGATACTCGCAGATGACTCAATACTGATAGCCCAAGATGAAGATAGTGAAAGAACCAATCGGTATTAAACAAGTAATGTAAATAAAATATCTTGGAATAACACTATCCATCTATAAAGACCTGGAAAAAGAAGTGAGCTATTAAGTACAAAAAGCAAATACACTGACAGGATGCCTTATTAACACTATATGGCGTAACCGACAAAATACTGTAAAATAAAATCAACAATCTACTAGGCCACAGCCAAAACAGGCAAAACGCTGGAAACTGCAGATGATAGTACTAAGTGACAGAATGATGAGATCAAAACAAAATGTAATGTACAGAGTATAAACTAATAAACAATAAACAAAAAGAAACATCAGTCGGTAAAAGAAGTATCGGACGACCGCGCAATAGATAGCGCAATAAATACTTTGTATTTATCAGTAGTTAAATCTGCTCCCTCCTCCAGGTATTCCACAGCCCTCACCATATCTATCATCCATTTATTGATGTATTGTTACCGTTTACCCTCAGGGTCCCTGCGTTAAATCTGGTTTCATTGAACTGTAGTGAATTCTGTTTACTTTCACTTATTTACTGCTTATTTCCATTTGTATAGGATTAACAGGATCAGGTTGATCAGCCTGGTTCAGTTATGTATCAGAATGGCGTCTCTGAACTACTGCCATCTTGAATACTTTTGTGACGTATTTGTATGGCTTAGTTTACTCATTAGTGTTTCGACTATGTTGTTAGAGGTGGACGGAGGTATTTGTAGTATTCCTTACTTTTTTAGGGGGAATGATGGGCGTTTTTACGGGCGTGATGCAGCAGGATATGCATATGCCCTAAAACTTCTAAGATAAAACTTATGGTTGTCAGAAAACAAAGTTATAAACATGAGCATTAAACCTATGAAATAAAGTTAGAAAAGTTTAACATCATCTATTTAGGCACCAACATTAACTTTAACTGGGATATCAGCAAAGAAATCAGCATTGCAAAAGCCAGAGCGGCCTTCTATAAACTATAAACAAACTCTGTTTGTAATATAGTAACAAATATAGTAATTTAAGTAACAAATATAGTAATTTAAGCTTAAAATCAGATTATTTCTGTGCTACATATTCTCCACATTGCTGTATGGTATGGGGAGCTGGACCCTTACATAAACACCTATGAAAAAAATTGAGGCCGTTGAGATGTAGATCTACTAATAAATATTACGGATCAGTTGGGATATAGAATGAGAAATGAATTAGTTTTATATCTAATAAAAAGAGCACACAAGTAACGAACACAATAAAAAAATCAAAAGTTACAATATTTTGGCCATAAAATAGGACATTCAGAGGGGAAGAAACTTCTACACCTCATAATATAGGACAAGATCGCCGGAAAAAGAGCCTTAAGCCGAAGAAGAACATCCTGGCTTCGAGATCTCCGACAGTAATATCAAGAAAAGTCCCTAATTTGTTTCGAGTTTTCGTTAATAATAATTTTTAAGTAACAATAACAATTTCTAGTAATAAAATAGTTGGTATTACCAATATAATCGCCAACGTTCCATAATTGGAGAGCTTAATGAAATAAGAAAAAGAAGAATATTTCTCTGACATCAGTATATCACCTAGTATAGTTTTTCTAGGTTTTATCTAATTTGAAAGGTCTTGGTTTTTTCTTAGCAATAGAAGCAATTTTTTTCCATATTTAGAGCTTCTTTTTCTTAGATACAAGTATTCTTCTGGTTTTAAGAGCTATTTTCCTTAGGCTCTCTGTCATAAATGACTGAGAGTCTGTTTTTTCAGGACACCTTCTGGCTCAATATTTAAAGTAAAGCTATAGTTCACTACCTACTGGTTGTCTTTTTGTCTTTATTTTTAGACCTAGAAGATTTTTTTTACTTTACATCGTTGCCAATATTTTTTCACGAGGTGTGATAAAATGTTTTCAGGAATTGCAGTACGCCTTTATCGTGGTAAGTCTATAATCCTCCAGAGTGTGCCATGTCTCTAGTGCACCACCTGCAAAAAGTCAATAATTTTTCTCTGTACCATGTAGTCCTTAGGTACAATGATTTGTAGGTCAATAAATACAAATTCAAATACAAAATACATTTACTTGGTTTTTCCTGCTTTTTTTTTCACCTGCTTTATAATCACCTATGTCAAATTTTGTAGTTTGTCAAAGCATGTAAATATTGATCTACATAATTGAGTGTTGGATTTTAATTTAAAAATATGTAGACATATTTTTAACATTATAAATATTATAAATATTTTTATATTAAATATTTGGATGCACCCGATATTGCAACAAATAATACTACCTCGTTTGAATTTTCTGCTTGTTACTAATAAATCCATGACCTATTTTAAGCAAAATAACGCAACAAAGTCTGCCGCATGCAAATACTGACAATTTGTCTACCGAAAACTGGGTTAATGTTTTTCATAAAAAGTTCCTTGGTCATGGGTTTTCCTCGAAGGAGTTGATTTAAAGTGAAGATAAGCTTCCTTTCTAAGATTGGGTCTATGCGTGTCAGAAAGTTAGTCATCGTTGCTGGATACTTAATTATTTAATTTTATCTTTAACCCAAGGTGGCATTTTTCACAATATACTATCTACGAATAAGAAACATGCCAGTTGGAAAATATGCGTGTATAAGACCGTTACTCTGAAATTTAACCCAAAATAATCTTCATCTTAGATACGTAGCACGTGAAAATATTTTGATATTATGTTTTGTAAATGAAAAAATGTAAGAAAAATATAATAAGTAATAAATAAACACACACAAACATAAAAAATGGAGAATAAAAAAGAATATCAGCTGTTTTATTATTTTATTAAAGACGTTTCGTTTATTAATTCATACACATAATCAGTTCTACAAATAAGTTAAATACAAAAGATATGCAATAGAGTAAGTTAAAAAAAGAGAAATAGCTTAATTTATGAATCATTCAGAGTAACAAATATCATTCAGTTTTAAGTAAGAAAAAATAGAACCATGTCAGTTTTGCAAAAGATAAAAAAGGTTCAAAGAACAGTATTCTAAAAAACTTAATATAAGTAACAGAACAAAATCTATCCAAGATTGAAGACAAACAAAGTTCCAAATTAGCAATAATATTATTAAATAATAGACATTACTATGGTTTATATTTAACTTTAGGCAACATTATTAAGTAGGATTGTTGTAAGCTGTAAAAGACAAAGTAATATTATCAACGAGACACCATGCGGAGACTTGAAAGGCTACATATAAAGATTGTTAGAAAACGACAAACTATTCTCAACATTAGCTAATATTTTGTCAATGGAATAATCATTTAAAGAAGGTTTAAGGTCAAATTTAGGACCTAGAGGCAACAACTTAAGAATGTGGCGAGAAACCTCAACATCAAAAAGGTTCTTAATCCATTTAGGAATAAATGGGATTTTCTTAAACTCAGGGGTACCTAAGTTATCAAGATTCTTATGAAGGTGATCCATAGATTCATAGTACATGAAATTGAATTGTAAAGAATATTCGAAATTATCTAATATAAGAAAAGGAAGAGTATGGTCTAAGTCAGGGGTGCTAAAACTTGAACTGCTAGCGATCTACCTCAATATTTTTAGACTACTTACGATCGACTCTGAGAGACTGCAAATGTGTGTGATGCAGGATTGTCGTACATACACGATACACCCTACCTATCCAGGTAGGGCGTACCGTAGCATATATAGATATTAGCTTTCTGCACAATATAGGTACATTATTTTAGTCAAGGTTTGGGTTAGGTTTAGTTAGGATCTTTTCTACAATATCAATGAAAAAACTCATAGTTATTCAAAACTGCGAGTTAATTTGTTGTTACAAAACAAAAGAGTTACATATGGTGTTAAACTTAACTAAGGAGTGGCTTTGGATATTGAAGCGTGGCACTGCATGTCCTCAGCATACTTTTCATAAGATAGTACGTAACCACTGAGTGCTAATCGCAAGCATGATGTCATATGATCGTCAGTTAGTCGATTGCGATATTTTGACTTAATTATCTTTATTTCAGAAAATGCAGACTCGTACAAGTATGTTGACCCAAAAAATGCAGTCAGTTAAAGGGAAATTTGCCTTACATTCGGATATTTATCTTCAGATATAAAACGCCAGAAATTTGTATCAGATACTGTAGCTTTAAGATGTATATCTGATATAATCTGCACCAACTCATTTTCAACAGAACATGAGTTCAGATTAACCTGACTTGCTATTTCAGTAGCTAATTCCTCAATGTTTTTACATGAAAAAGGATAACTCATAAATGATGCTATATTTTCCAATTTACTGCAATCATAAAAACGCATTTCGAATTGTCCCAAAACATTTGATAATTCAGCCTCATACGTATCATAATTTAACTGAGGAATCCTTGCTTTCAAAGACGGAAAATGTTTCAGATCCTTTCTTTTCAGTTGATCTATCATAAGTTGCAATTTACTTTTGAATGCGTTTACTGCGCTAATATAGTTTTCAATAATAGTTTTTCCTTTACCTTGAAGCTCCAAGTTAACGGTGTTTAAGTGCATTGTGATGTCAGTCAAAAATGCAAAATCATTTAGCCATTTTTCGTTTTTCAAAATCTGAGTGTCATCACCTATTTCGTCTAGAAAAGCTGTTATTTCGGGCAATAATTCTTAAAACCTTTCTAAGAATTTTCTGCGACTCAACCACCTGACGTCCGTGTGAAGAACTAAATCAGTGTGTTCAGCTGACTCCCTATCTTCCAACTGCAACTGAAAGAGCCGCCGTTGCAAGCTACGTGTACGGATGGAATTCACAATTTTTGTTGCCATGCCCATAATTTCCTCCGTGTTTAAAACTTTTGAACATAAAACTTGTTGATGTATAATGCAATGGAATGAAAAAAATTAAGGGAATTCTTCATTAGCTCGACACAATGCCACAAAACCGTTTTTGTTTCCAGTCATTGCTGGTGCTCCATCGGTTGTAATGCACATTAATTTATATATTGGTAGCTCGTAGTTTTTTACAAAATTTAAGAAAACGTCATATATATCTTCGCCACGTGTCTTCCCCTTCAGAGGAATGATTGTCAAAAATTCTTCCTTAGCCAACATGTCATTGAATACCATCCGAATAAAAATACACGGCTGGACAGTGTCTGTCATATCGATGGATTCGTCGAACTGTAAAGAAAAGTATGTACATTCCATGATATCATGTTTTAGTTTATCTGCGATGTCTTGACTCATGACTTCAATACGCCTTGTGACAGTCGGACGAGATAACTGAAGTTCTCTAATAGCAGACATGATTTCTGTTTTATTTATAAAATCTCCAAATAAAGTCTCACCCGCTTCAATAAATGCTTCCTTCACCACTGATCCATCTTCAAATGGTTTCTTGTGTTTCGCCAAAATATGAGATATTTTAAATGACGCGATCGTAGCAGCTTTTAATTGTTTGGCTGGTCTTGTGAACATGGATTGTTCTTTTCAAGATATCAAATCACTTACTTTTCGTTTTCTCAATTCATTCTGTGGCGAAAAATCCTTTTCATAGATTTTATGAACCGTTTTATGATGCCTCTCTAAGTTACCACGCTTAGGTATTGCAACTGACGCACGACAAATAGTACAAATGCACTTATCCTTCACCATAGAAAAGAAAAATTCTTCCTCCCAATCCTTATTAAAATAATACGTTTTAGATTTCTTCACTGCACTCATTTTCCACTATTTAATAATAAACTTTGTATCGACGTAGGATCGCGATCAAGTTACAATTCAGAATAACTCCAATTCCTGCAGGCGCAACATTTATATCGGCGTGAACGAAAGTCTCAAATGTTCCCGCCAAACGCGCTGCCCGAAACTAGACTGTACTGTTTCTCGTCTAGAAACAACACGGCTTTTCTTTGACAAGTGCCGCGCGTTCCTTTGATAAAGCCACCTTTTGTCGCAAGCAGTGTTATTTTATTACGTAATACATTTTTGTAGTTGATAGAATATCATCCCAAATTTGATTAACAATTATAATAAATATTGAATTAATAAAATAATTAGTTAATATATGTAAATATAAAATATGCTGTGTGGACAGTATTTTGTTGTCCCCACTTCTTTGAATTGCAGTGATGCTTAGTCAAGCATTCTATGTATTTGTATAGTTCAGTATTAATAAAAACGTTTAACTCTGCTGACAGTAGTTTAGTTACCTACCTACTTATTAAATTTTTTTTTCTTCTCGAGATCTACCCAAAAAGCACTCGCGATCGACCGTTTGAGCACCCCTAATCTAAGTGATCAGTATCTTATTTTAAGTATTGCAATGGTAGATCCGTGGTGGATAAAGTAATGTTGGAAGTGCTATCAATAATAAGTTTTGTAACTCTCTTTGTTCTCCTACACTCTAGTAGAAAATATCTTTTATCTTCTGCTCTAGCCAGTTTTTCCGTCAGTTTGGTCCACCTCTTATAGTCGAATTGAATACTAAATGTAGTTTACTATGATAGTTAAAGGTTCTGTGTCAAATGTTGGAGAATAAAAACAGGATATCAGCTACTTCATCGTATTATTGAAGACATTTCGCATATTATTTCGTAAACATCATCAGTTCATCTACTAATTAGTTAAATAAACTAACATCCACACAGACAAAAAATTTACACATGGTTTATCTAAAAAAAATATTCAGCATAGTTAGTGGAAAGTGAGGAAAATAGCATAATTTATAAACTATACAGATTAAAAAATACAGAACTAAGTTAGTTTTATGCAAGATATTTATACTCGAACAACAGTATTGTGAACAAATTAATATAAGTAACAGACCAAAAACTATCCCAGATGGAAGACAAACAAAATTCCAAATTAACACTAATATTATTCAAATAATAGACATTAGTATAGTTTATATCTAACTTAAGTTATATAGTTTATATCTAACAATATTAAGTGGGCTTGTTA